CCATTTCCCCTCGTCCTGCAGTTATCCGCCCTTCCCAAGAGCTGACTCCCCTGCTGTCTGTAGGCTCCCTTGTGCTGAAGGCTGCACTGATTCACCCCGCAGCTTCTCTTCTCCGTGCTGAACGAGCCCAGCTCCCTCAGCCCGTCTCTGTAGTGGAGGTGCTGCAGCCCTGCTCATCTTTTCAAGTACGTTGCTTTTCTTTGCTGCTGGAGCTGAAAGCTTTGCCTTATTCTACTTTTGCCTAAGGAAGATTTTCAGTACTAGCTGATGCTTCCCAATAGAAAATACATGTGGGTTTTATACCCCAAATTTGAAATCTGGATGTTTTGCAGACAGTCATTTTGATCTGTTGGAGTGAGTCCAGAGGATGCCATAAGGATGCTCAGAGGCTGCAGCACCTCTCCTATGAAGACAGGCTGAGAGCTGGGAAGTGAAAAGGCTCCAGGGAGACTTTATACCTTCTTAGTATTTAAAGGAGGGCAATAGAGAAGCTGGGAAGGGACTTTTTACAAGGGCATGTAGTGATAGAGAAGGGGAAATAAAAGGAGGTAGGTTTAGGTAGGATGTAAAAGTGGGTGGGCACTGGATCAGTTTGCCCAGAAAAGGTGAGGAAGTCCCGTCCCTGGAGGTGCTCAGGGCCCGCACTGGATGAGGCTCTGAGCAGTGTGGTTAATGGGAAGTCCCTGCACATTGCAGTGGGGTTGGAACTCGTTCATCTTTACGTTCTGTTCCGATGCAAACCTTTCTGTGATTTATCCACTGTTTGCCATTGAATGTGCTTAAATAATGGTAACTATTTTTTAGCTGCATTCTGCCCTGAAAAATCATATTACACCCATCAGTTGTTTCTAAGCAGCAGCTTTGTATCTTCGCTGGTGGTAATGTGACAAGTAGATATTGCCTTGTTCTGAAACCCACCTTTCATATATTTCCTTCTCTGGTTTTATATGGAGTAAACTTAATCTTCTTGCAAAATAAGGTAAAATAGCTTATATGAATGCCAGGTACTAAGAAAATAGTCCAAACTCCGTTCTGTTCTTCTTCGTAGCTACACTAAAGGGGTAGACATGTGGAGTATTGGCTGCATTCTGGGTGAGCTGCTGCTTGGAAAACCTCTTTTTCCTGGAACATCAACCATCAATCAAATAGAGCAGATCTTGAGGGTCATTCCTGCCCCATCGCCGGAAGGTAAGGCTTTTTCCTACGGAGGAAGTTACTTAAAGGAGAGATAAAAAGAGTGAAAGAAAGCAGCAGCCCATCTGGATCAGGAAGAAGATATCTGTTATGACTTCTTCTAACATCTTCCCAAGGAAGGAAAACTTAATTGAGGAATGCTAATTTTATAGTAAAACAGACCTGTACTTGATTAGATGAGAAGGAAGAACAAGGCCTTCAAAACATTCTTCAGTTTTATAAGATGGCAAAGGTTTAAAACAGAGCATCATACCTCAGTTGGACTTGTGTAGTCGTAGTAAATTGTAATTTTGGTCTGGAAATCTAAATAATAGAATGAATCATAGAATGGCCTGAGTTGAAAAGGACCTCAAGAATCATCACTTCCAACCCCTGCTGTGTGCAGGTCGCCAGCCAGCAGCCCAGGCTGCCCAGAGCCACATCCAGCCTGGCCTTGGATGCCTGCAGGGATGGGGCATCCACAGCCTCCTTGGGCAACCTGTTCCAGTGCCTCACCACCCTCTGCATGAAAAACTTCCTCCTCACAGCCAACCCAAACCTCCCCTGGCTCACTTTAAAGCCATTCCCCCTGTCCCATCACCACCACCCTCACACACAGCCGTTCCCCTCCTGTTTATCCGCTCCCTCCAAGCACTGGAGGCCACCATCAGGTCTCCCTGCAGCCTTCTCTTCTCCGAGCCAAACGAGCCCAGTTCCTCAGCCTTTCCTCATAGCAGAGCAGCTCCAGCCCTCTGCTCACGTCCAGCTTCTCGTCCACCCGGACCCCCCAGTCCTTCTCCGCAGGGCTGCTCTCCAGGAGCTCTTCCCCCAGTCTGTATGGATACCTGGCATTGCCCCAACCCAAGTGCAGCCCCTGACCCAATGCAGCACCCTGCACTTGGCCTTATTGAACCTCATTAGGTTTTCTCATGGTCCCACTTCTCCAGCCTGTCCAGGTCCCTCTGGATGCTTCCCTTCCTCCCAGTGTATTGACTGCACAGCTCAGCTTGATGTCATCCACAAACTCCCTGAGGCTGCACTCGATGCCATCGTCTGTCACTGATGGAGATGCTGAAGAGCACCGGTCCCAAGACCCTGAGGGACACAGACTTGTGAGCGGCCTCCACCCTGACACAGAGCCATTGATCACAGCCCTTTGGCTGCATTCAGCCAGCCAATTCCTAATGCATCCAACAGTCCATCCTTCAAATGAGGAAGGCTGTAACTTTTCAAACACGGAAAACTGAACTGTGAGCAGCAACTTTTCCATGAGATTTGTAGGGAACTGAGAAGCAAGATTCTGAAAAAAAAGACTGTTCCATTGCGACTGTTGACTTAAAGGGTCTGACAGATAGGTCCAGGAAATAGCTCACTGCCAGCAGTCAAAAAGAACCCAGCAGTGCAGTACAAACAGCTGGCATCTCATTCTCTGTGTAAAGCAGCGATTTGGAGCAGGTCATTTTGCCTCACATGTCTTGGTGCTTCCAAGTATGGAGTGTGAGAGCACATGTTTATGAAACCCATGAGGATGTAAATAGAAACATTATCAGAAAATGTGTAAGTAAATATTCTGTCCCCACTCCATAAGATTTCCTGATCTCTATTAGAATAATTTTCCATGACATTTATTAGGCTCATTTCCTCTGTTTTATACATTTTAATGCCATGTGTTTGCTTTCCTACATAAACTATAAAGCTCTGCTAATCGTTGACTATCATTTTGTTGTTGCAGATATTATGGCTATGCAGTCAGACTACAGGGCCTCGATTATTGACCGCATGAGTTCCCGGTAAGCTCTCTATGTTAAATGTGTCTCAGATGTCAACAACGGCTGTTTAGCGTGGACAGAAAGTTATCCCAGTGTTCACCTTCCAGTGCTGGAACAGCCTGCCCAAGGAGGCTGTGGATGCCCCATCCCTGCAGGCATCCAAGGCCAGGCTGGATGTGGCTCTGGGCAGCCTGGGCTGCTGGTTGGTGACCTGCACACAGCAGGGGTTGGAACTGATGAGCGCTGTGGGCCTTTGCAACCCAGGCCTTTCTAGGATTCTATCATGATTCTATGATTTTGGTACCCTATGGGTTCTTATGGCACCCTGTGGGTCCCTATGGCATCCTATGGGTTCTTATGGCACCATATGGATCCCTACGGCACTGCTGTGGATCCCTATGGCACCCTATGGGTTCTTATGGCACCCTGTGGATCCCTATGGATCCCTATGGCACCCTGTGGATCCTTATGGCACCCTATGGCTTCTCTGGGCAGCCTTGTCTGGTGATTGGTGACCCTGCACACAGCAGGGGGGTGGAACTCAACGATCCAGGCCATTCTAATTACTTTGTACTCATATCTGCCGTGATCTGGGCATCCCTCCCATGAGGGAATTGGCAGTACTGTCCTCCTAGCTGTGAGCTGTATGGGTTCTCTGGATGCTCACAGATAGACCCGATGTTTGGAGGGTTAGCTGAGGGCTCAGACCGTGATGTCCATCAGGTCTCCTGCTGCTCGTGTGAACGATGCATGCCTATTTATGACGATTTCTTCAGCTGGCCTCCCAGAGTATCCTTCTGGCTTTCTGGAGGATAAGCATCATTTATGGATGCCACAGAGGGATGTGCCCAGAGATGCTCGAGTCATCAGGCGTGAGGTGTGTGAGGGAATTTGGGCAAACACCTGGAGTGAATTTCACCTCCAGTTTTGTGGGACTTCACACCCAAGCGAGCACAACTTCTTGCTGAGGTGATGAAATGCCAAAAGAAAAGTTGCCTCGTCTGCGCCACAGGGAGAGAACTGCTTGCACTGTGCTGTGCCTCAGGGCAGTGAGGGGATCTTTGGACCTGAGGGCACGCAGATGGATGCTGTGGCTAAACCAGAGTCCTGACCTTCAGCTGAGACGGTCCCCTCTATCATAAAGAAGGGACAAGGAAGGAGCAGTGCCCTCAGAGGCTCCTTCCAACTCTCAGCACCCTGAGGACTGTGAAGTAGATGATGTGAGCTTATCTAATTGTTTCCTAACTTGTAGGCAACGGGTAACGTTTGAGGAGATTTTACCATCCTCTACTCCTTTGCCTGCCTTAGATCTTCTGAAGAAGCTCTTGGTGTTTAACCCTGAGAAACGACTGACGGCAGAGGAGGCCCTCCAGCATCCATACGTGAGAAGGTGAGCGATGCCAGTGTGCCAATCCCTGCATTCTGCTCACATGCTATAAAGCTGCTTTTAGCACGAGCTGCCCTTATGCTAATTGTAGAAAGAAAAAAAAGTTAATTCCTTACCCTCTCTAAGCCTGTTTACTCTAGAGGTCACGCTAGATGACTTAACAATAGTTAATTTAGCATAATATTAATCTGTGGGGTTTAGTCTTAGTGCCTTACACCGTGTTGTCCTCTTCCAGGTTTCATTGCCCTGCCAGGGAGCCCTCTCTGGGTTACGATGTGATTCTTCCTTTGGGTGATGACACTCAGCTGTCTGTGGCAGAATATCGAAACAAACTGTATGAGGTACATTCTTCTGCCCTGTTTGCTGAAGCCTTAATCCCCCAAGTCTCTGTCATTCTTGGACTGACTGAATTCTGCCATTTTCTTCTATTTGCCTTCCCTTGGGCTTTCCTTACATTCTTACAGTGACAGTGTGGTGTTTCGTCTCATTCACACAGAATCACAGATGGTTGGGTTGAAGGGACCCAAGGATGACGAGGCTCCGACCCCCACCAATGCAGGGCCACCAACCTCCACATTTCACAGCA